ACTTTTCAGGACCCCACCTTGATGTTTCAGGACCTCACTTTGGGACCCGACCCCAACTTAGGGAAACTCTGGTTTAGACCATCTGGAAACATATTGTCTAAACAGCGGTTGTCTCAAATACTACTTCACTGCATTACTTAGATAACTATGTAATGTTCAAAAAGTTTCTTGTTATAAAATATATATTTTATGCAAATGTTTGTGTTTCAAACTTAACTGTCAAATGATTTGTTATAGTTGTGTGCTACGTGGCATTTTCTTTTTTTTTTAACCAACAGTAATGAAGCTACAATCATGCATAATAAAAAATAACTGAAGTGATACTTCTTATATGGAAGACTCTTCAACTGCAGAATAGAAGTCCACTTGTTTTTGTTTTTGTTTGGTTTTTGCTTTTCTGATTTTTTTTACGTTTCTGAATGCAGTATGACACTTATAATCAATTAAATGTTGTCCTGACACATTATAAATACTTTTTTCCCCATCAGATACAAATTGCTGATGCCTCCTGCACAGGTAAAAGCCAAGGCACTCACTTAACTGTCAGGCACAATTTATTTTATTTCAACTCAAGTGAACTAAATTTACTTTATTACAAGTTATGGAGATTATTTAAAATGAATATTGTTTAAAAATCCTGATTGTTTGCAACACATAACACACTGCYGCTGCTGATGTGCCAACTTCCTTTAAGAGGTCACATTCAGCTTTTTTATTAGTTTCACTTCTTTGTTTTATAAAACTGAATGTGCATGACTGTGTGAGGGGTATTTTATCAGTATATATGGTTATAGTAAACATTACTATGTCGACAAACATTTAAATGGGTCAGGAGACACAATGTATATGAATAGTATTTTTTTAAATAACAAGCTGGAATGAAAACAAGCAAAAATGAAATAAATGTAACAAATTTCTACCTCTTGCCTTTTTAAAAAAATTAAGTAGTAGAAAGTACAGATAATTATGTGACGATGTAAGAAGGTCAAAAAGTAGGCTGAAAAATAATTGCTCAAGTAAAAGTACAGATACCCAAAAATACTTAAGTACAGTAACAACGTATTTGTACTTAGTTACTTTACAACTCTGCATAATAGTGAGAAAATATCTCAAAATTACGACTTGCAGTATCTCTCAAGTATGAAATAGCATCTAAGAATCATATCAATGCTAAAAGACTCAATTTTAAGATGATTGTTTTTATGCTAAGTCAAAAATATGAGATGCTTAATCACATTTTTAAGATAAAATGATGATTTAAGAGATAATTTTAATCAAAGTGGCCGAAATGAGCTCAGATAAGTATCAGTATTTTTGTTGTCTTGTTAAATGTATTTTAAATGACCTAATTACTTACCATACTTCTAGGTTGTTCTAGCCTTCGTCTTCGAGTCTTGGTTGGGTTGGTTCGTTTTWCTTTTCTTTAGCGCTAATAGGTCATGTGACACACACAAATTGTTTTGTTGCCTCATGCGACAGYATGCATATTAAAAAGAGTAGTGATGAAACTTTGCTTCAAGCAAGCTGACTRTTTTAGATGTAAACTGGAAATGTAATTACACCTGACGAATGCATTTTGTGGACRGACAACGCTTAAATGCGTGCGCACAAACAATATCAACCTTCAGATCCAAACGGGCGGTGCCGTATTATAAAACAAGCAGCCCCCWGTGTCTTAGCACGTCACAGGGAATCAGTTGGCTTAGCTAGCGGAACWACAGCCGCAGCAGCAGTGGATGGTACAGATTCAGCATCAGTTACGAGACTGGAACCGAGATTTGCTTATTTAATCAATACTCATGTCAAAAACAAGGTAAAGTGAAACCCTTTTCAGAGCCGAAACACAGCTTATGCTTGGGAATCGAAGCACTAAAGCTACCTGGCAAAAATGTAAAGATTGTTATGAAGTTCAGCCGCCAAGTAAACCCGCAACGCTGAGTTAGCTTGTAGCCGCTTGTTCGACGGAAACGGATTTGTCGCGGATTAGTTAAAACGGGTAGCGGTGCTGCGCATCACCGTGTGCCAAAATATAAACTTTAAGACCAGAAGATATGAAATAAGTTGTTTGAGGAGACCTGGGTTCCAATGTTTAGGCACAACAGAGTCTGGTTAGGTTACTCGCGATTAGCTCAGAGCTCTACTGGTTAACGAGCTATTTCCTTTTTTGAATTAGCCACCTCATCTGTGGGGACTAGTTTTTAACATCATGCTTATTTCTTTGTTTGTGCATTTTTTTTTACTATAAACTCGCAACAAGTAATACGTAGCTTCCTTGAGCCACACAAAGATGCAAGTATTTAGTGTGAGAGATTATGTAAGACGTGTGCTCATCGTGTGCTTTTGGTTGTTGCTAGACGACTTTTTTTTTTTTAGGTTGCTTGAAGGCAGATCTTAGGTGGCCAACTCTGTARCGAGCTAGTATCTAAGAAACCAGCTCATTGTGCAGGGAACACAGTTTTTTGGTTTGCCACACTCACTGGGAGCTAACTTTCAAGTATAGTTTGAGAAACTTATGCTCAAACTTTACCTGAGCCACATTTACACCAAAACAAGCAAAGTGTTGAGCTATATTACTATTGTGTATGTGCACGCAGTAATGTTTTGTTTATGTTTTCTATCTTTTTTTTAAACCAGGAAACCTGTAAATGACAACCTCACAGAGATATTTTGAATCCAAGCCAGCTGGTAAGTTGAGCCACAGCTGTGAAAACATGGATGTGTTGTGTCCGCTCCACGTGTGTTGATACTGAACACCCCGCTGTCATCATAACTTTTTTTTTTTCCACAAACACATTAGGGCGGTTCGCTGACATGGAGTGGCAGACACCAGCTGTTTCGGAGAAGTACCAGAGCCGCTTTGGACGCCGKCCGGGGACATCGGACAGCGTGGACACTGGTATCGGCACCTCAGCATCTGACAGCACCGAAGGTGATGACTTTTGCTTCTTCTTCCTCTTCAGTGTGTTGTGTAATTTAGTGACTGTGTTGTACGTTAAACATTGTGATATGTGTTTGTGACTAATCTGTCTCTGAGGTGGTTTTATAATTGTCCTTTTAGTGTGCGGCTATTGAAAAGGCTTATTTTGTTGTGGTGCCTTTTAGGCTGTTTATGGTGCAACAAAAATACTCATGATACAGTGTRAAGGCTGGAGACATTCACAGTAGTAGTTCTGGTCAAGAGACTACTTTACAGCTGTGGTGTTTTGGCGTATTGAGAAGTTAAAGTTGGGATAAAACTGCTGAAGAACTAAACGAGGAGTAACCTCGTCTTTGATGTGGGAACTCACGATCTTTTTACACTCTGTGCTTTAAATGGGAGTGGAGGTGGTGTCTTTGTGTCTGTGTTTGAACRTGATAAATGGAAAAATAATGGGCTGATGGCTGCATGTTATGGGGGAGCCACCTGGGCTGGGTGGTCTGTGTTTCCACAGGAAACGCCATAGAAGGATAAACTGAACACTTGTGGTTTTGGGAGCTGCGGTGTTCGAGCTTCACAAAGCTGGTATTATTCGCTGAAGGCACTTTTAACGGACTTTGCACAAATACAAGTGCTGACGCATRACAAGCTCTGCTGCTCACCTCCCATCCTTGCTAAGAAGATGTTGGGAAACRGTTGGTTTATATCRTCTATGGGACTGATTTTGCACGTAGCRTTGGAGCGTGTTATGTTGTCGTGCAAGTCTGAGACGCAGTGAACTCAGATGTGTGTGTTCAGGCTCACCCTGGTTTGTTATCAGATACAGATGTTAGGTTCTTTCCTCATATTTGTTTATATTGTTTGTTTAGAGATATTCAAGCCATTATAGGTTCTATTTCTACACTCATAGGCTACGTTCACACTGCAGGTCTTAATGCTCAATTCCAATTTTTTTGTGTGAAYGTTCACATTACATTTTAAATGTGACCTGTATCAGACTCCTGTGCGAACGCTACACAGCACTGATGTGACACGCATGCGCAGTAAAAGACGTGACGTCTCATCAGCCGACATGTTTATTTACAAAGCTAGCATGGATGCTACATTTTGCGCATCGAGTCGGAAGTTGTTGTTTATTCAGAGCCGGTTAAATAATTATCTGACTTGCTTGTTTAGTTCAGTGCTTATATCGGAACCTGCCTCTGACCGGGATGCTCCAGTGAAGCTTTTATTATTATTATTTTTGAACCAAACTACGAGCTGGAAATAAAGTATCGACCGAGTAGCTAACTTTAGGTTTGATACTCTCCGCGACCCAGGCTGGACATCGTTATTATCATACTATCTACATGGAAAATTAAAAGTAAAAAGATGAAGCAACTGGACTTGTGTTTTGGAGCTGTAAACACATGGAGCTGCAGATTTAAACAGCGAGACTTGAGGTTAGTGTATTATTGATSYTTCACCCCCTCCTCCCTGATGAAAAAGTCGGATGGAATGTGACACAAACACTGCAGTCACTTTGAAAACATCAGATATATATATCCGATTTAAAACCACATACTGAAACAGCCTGGGTCGGATTTCAAAAAATCGGATTTGTCACGTTCAGACGGTCATAAAAAAATCGGATATGAGTCAGATGGGTCAAAAAAACCGGATTTGGGTCGGATTTGCCTGCAGTGTGAACGTAGCCATAGACTCTGGGGTTACAATATGTAACCAACATTTTTGTGGTAATGGTATAAAGAATTACCAGTGTTGGATAATAGTTTGAACTACCTCAATGCACAAAACAATTAAGTAAAATAAGACAAAAGAGCTGCCATCAGGTCTGAGCTGTTAGCCATCCCAAGACTAAGTGTATTACTGCCACTTTAAAACAACCAATCTAAAAAATTTATAGCATTTCATAAACATTTACATTACAGTCAGTTTCACTAAACATATTAATTTACTTGTGAATTTTTACAGTTATTTGAACAAATAGTGGTGGCAACATCGAGCTGTAGGATTCCCATTGCAGCCAGAGGTTTGATTATAAGCGACCATGTTTACTACTTTTAATAAATGGGCAGTCGGCCATGAATGTACAGACTTAATCAATTGCCAATTAGGAAAATGAAGCTGCATCAACAGCTGCTACAACCAGCTCACTGTGGCCTGCAGTTCAATATTTTAACAAGGAATGCTCTTTTATGTGTTTTTTAAAGTGTACAAGTTTTCTGAGGATTTTTAAGTATATTTTTATTTACCTTAAGCAGTAATTGTTAAATTTAAAAATATGCATAGTTCAAAAAAATACTGCCTTGATTTCTAAAGATTAGCATTGGCCAAATAAAAACTCAGATTTGCTGAGCTCAAACATGGATCCATTTTGGCCTTATATCTGTTTGTACTAGCCATTAGCTCATCTGTCTTGGCAGACTTAAACCATATTTCTCCAAATTGAGGCTGTTCAAATGGTTATAAAGTATAGTATTTATAATTGTTTTTGTTTGCAAGTCGTCACCTTTTATATAAAAAGAATTACTCCTTAAACAGAATGAATATATTAAAATTTTCTCTTTGTCACGACACCAGCTTTGCTTAATAATCAGTTCATCTCTAAACTAAGCTAAATATTTTATGTACAATGTTTAGACTGGAATATTCACTTGTTTTTAATGTTTATAGCTGACTTTTAAAAGCTGATAAGAATGAAAGAAACATGTCCGGTTGTTAATTATGATACACACTGCCGAAAGGCAGAAATGTTTGTTGAACATCGTTGGCAAATGTTCTCTTTGCTGAATAGTTCAGACTTGTTCCAACTGGTTATGAATCAGTGAAGCCTAAAGGCTTTTTTAAGAGAGATTGGAGGCGTTATGTTTCTGAATATCTTGTTGTTGTTGTTGTGTTTGTTTTTTCACAGTTTAACTCTTTTACTTGTCATGTTTGGTCTGCGWTTGTTCCCGGGTTCTGGTCTCAGGGTGTTGTGGGTTTGACTGGTCAAAGGAAAAATGTCCAAAGCAGTTTCTGACTTTGCACGTGTGATGTGCACTACAGTGGGAGGAGGCAAGGTGCCTAAATAAGCGGTACCCACAGATCACTCTGTAACTCGAGAGGTGGGTTATAAATACCCCTAACCTTTCCTGTGTACGCTGTTTGGATGTGTTTGCTCAGAGTTCGGTACAGGCTGGTTTKGCTCTCGGGACAATACTAAACTTTRGGCAGAGAGCCTGCTCACCGCGCAGCCGTCAGTTCAACCTGAAGACGTTTTGATGCAGCTCGGAAATGCAAAAAACGGTTTCCTGTTTTGATTCGAATCATCCTACAGCTCTTGTAACCTCAGTTCAGCTTTAGAAAAACATGCCACAGCTAACTTGGTTTCTGCGTTGGAGTGACTTCCCCTCTTTCAGCTTTCAGCAGGTTTCTCAGGTTTGTAACTCTGTTGTAAAATAATTCAATTAAATTGGCTTAAAGATTGTGGAGGTGGCTGGTGGTAGAGATCTTTGAGTCTCCATCGTGGTCTTTGTGAGCAAAATGTGATCTCGGATAAAAACAGTTAACATTTTTGCATCTAATGGAGTGGTTTTTGTGTAAATATTCTTGTGTAATTGRAGGAAAAAATGAAAGTAGATACAAATTAAAACTAAAAACCTTTTTGAATCTCCAGCAGTACTGCAATAGAATTTCACCATGACACATSCATTTACGCTGAAAGTAATACCAGTTTAACATGTGACAAGATGCATTTATCCTGCATTAAAGAGCATTTATTCTGAGCTCTGGTTTAAAGCTATTATAAGCTTCCTCCTTGAGTTGAGTCAGAGACAGTTAATTCTTTCAGTGGTGAGACCTCATCATCAAAATAGGTCACCTATAAACACTGCTGCATCTACCTTGCTGATTGAAAATATGGAGACTGCCTTGCTAATTACACTGTTATAAAAAACTCAGGGTGATTTTTCAGTGATATTATTCTTGTGTTCTTCCCAGATTTCCACAGTTCCAGCAGCAGCCCCTCCTTCCAGCCCATCCGCAGTAAGATCCCCATCCCTACTGCACATGTCATGCCATCCACGGCCGGCTCCCCGGCCTCAAAGCCCCTCATGTTTGGCCAGGAAGACTCGGCGTCCTCGGCTGACGGCCGCAGGTCATCTTCCGGTTCAAGAACTCCGAGTGGCTCCACGTCAAAGTCTTCCTCGCTCTCCAAATCGGCGTCTTCGCCCAATCTGGACGCTCAGGATGTTGTAGGAGGCGATCCCACGGGTGGGCCCAAGTCGGACTGCCTGAGCCGCTACCGCAGCCTCGTCAAYGGGCTGGACTACTCACTTTTCCCCACGGATCGCACACGGGTGGACGAGGGACAGAAGTTCGACACTCCCGCTGTGGAACCTACCCTGAACCAGTCAGCCCTGTTGGGAGGGTTGTGTCCTGATGTCAGACTCCGGTTACAGACGGCCGGGATTAGAGACACCCCAGACAGTTTGTCTGAGGCGTACAGAGGCRCTATGGAGCACAGCTTTAAGGTTCTGCCCGAGGCGAGGCCCGGCCTCTTTGGAGCAGCAGAAGCCTCTAATCAGAGGGGCGGGCATTCTGTCGCGGCCGGATCTGCCGGTGTTTATGCAAACCCTCTGGGTCTGCTGCGGGAGCACGCAGGTCCCAAGGTGTTCGATCCACTGCGGCAGGACCGGTGTAGTGAACTCTCCAGCTGGCAGCAAAAACAGCAGCTGGAGACTTTACGCCTGCAAATGGAACAAATGCAGGCAAGTGTCCAATAAAACACCAAATACACAAAATAATGTATTTAAGAAATGTTAGTTTTATTATGTKTTATTTTTACATTGCTTTACATTATTTATTATTATTGATCTAATTATAGAGGCTAAAAATAGCTGCTACAGTTTGCAGAAAACCTGTTCTTTGTAGAAAAATAAAGGCTTTTTAAGGGAATGTTTGGACCTATAGGGATTGACACTGAAGTGGTGATGGAGCTCCAGTATAAATATTGTATGTAGGTCAACACTGGGAAAATATACCAATAATTGAGGCCTGAAGGCACAAAGACTGGAGCTGTCAAATCAGACAAATTCAAATCACATGATCCTCAACAGGCCTTGTTCAGCCTGACAGAAACATTTTATTACAACAATGTCTCTTAACTGTGTATCTTAAAGGGATCCACGGTTAGTTGTAACATTAGACATTATTTAATAAACATTTATTT